AATTGTTTTTATTTTTATTTTTTGGGTCCGGTCGTGGGGCCTGAACTCTGGGCCTGGGCGCTGTCCCTCAGCTCCTCAGCTCAAGGCTAGCGCTCTACCACTTGAGCCATCTTCCCAGCCCCTGGAGGGTTCTTCTTAACAGGGATCTCTCGTCCCGGCCCTAGGTCCCCACCTGTTCACAAAATTCGGTTTCCATTTCCCCGATGCTGGGGTGTTTACCCAGTGTGACGTACAAATTTCCGCCCCGGTTGCAAGTCTCATTCCCGGCCGTCTGGGATCGACCCTCCCCGCCCGCAATTCCCGTCCTAACACCTCCTTCGAGGAACTGACTCTGCCGAACTCCCGCGGTCCAATGAGACCCCTGTGCCTGCCCCTGAAAGTCGGCTTCCATCCCGCCCACAGCGGTCACTAGCCGCCCCATTCCCCCGTGGAGCAGCCCGGAAGGTCTGTCCCCCAATAAAACCTGAGCCCGCATCTGTCGCTCGCCTCTCAGTTCTCACAGGATCGGTCTCCATTTGCAAGGAAGTGTCTGTGGAAGCGAAAGACAGGCACCCCAGGGCCCTGTCGCCGCAGGACCGGGCTGGGCCACGTCTCAGACGCGAACCGCCACCGTGCCCCCGGTCTAAAGCACCCCAGGTCTCCCAGTTCCTCCAGCCCCGGCCCATTTCCCTGGCAGCCTCCGGCCTTTCAAAGTTTCCTTTATAACCTTAGGGAGTTTGAAATCTGGCAAAAAGGAGAACTTAGGATAGGCACTGGGTGTGGACACCCCACTTCCCCTGGAAACTCCCGAACCCAGAGTGTGGCCGGACCCCCCCCCCCCCCAGGACCGCTTCCAGTTCCACTCAATGCCCGCCCTTTCCCGAAGGCCGGGGCGGGGTTGAGGACGCCTGCACAGCTACTGCGCCTGCGTAATGAGCCCCGAGGTGGGAGGTGGCGAGGTGGTGCGTCTGACAGGGCTGGTGCGCATTGCGCTTGCGCACGGGGCCCGGCGGCCCCTGATATGGAGTGGACTTGCTGTCCGGGCCGGGCTATAAGTGCGCCTGCGCGCAGGCCGGGCGCCGCGGTCCTTGACTGTGCTGCGCTGGGCGCCGGGTGGAGCCATGCGGAGAACGGACTGCGAGCAGCCCCCAAAGCGGCCCCGGTGCGATGGCAGCCCCAGAACCCCTCCGAATACTCCTCCCGCGGCGACTAACTGTTCGCCGGGACCCAAACTCCACCCCGACCATCGGACCTGGGACCCGGAGCAGGTGTGCTCCTTCTTGGAGCGCAGCGGCTTCAAGGAACCGGGACTGCTGAGAAACATCCGAGGTAGCGGCGCCGAGGGGCGCGGGCGGCCACCGCCGCGGGCCGG